GCAGTCTTCTTGTGCTGCGACAACACCCATCAATGAAGCGAACAATGCAATTGATAGTTTCATGTTAACTACAGTATTTATTTCAGTTTCAAGGAATGACTGAAGAATGACTGTGCCGCAGAGGTACCGGTATAATAAAATAAGATATTCAATATGCAGTATTCAACATTCATGTTCCAGTAAATACATGTAATGAGGTGACACGTGCGACTCATCTAATATATACAGTACACGTATGTGCAAGGTGCCCCAGCGCTCTACAAAAAACGGGACAGGTACTGTACGTACAGTAGTATACCTTTACTATACCTTCAACTACTGTAGTCACTTTGCCGAAGATAATCATAAAGTACTGTTCCTACCGGTAGCTTGATATTGTGCAATGGCATCATCTCCCCAGCATAGAGTCTTTGAAAAAGGATCTTGTATATCCTTGTTGAAAGGCTGTGGTAGTGACAATAAGTCCTCACAAGGAAATGATGTGCCAGTCCAAAACGGAAACCTCCAGAGGGAGGAAATGAAAGAAACGCAAGACCTACTGGCGTCTGGACTGAGCAAACTGACTGTGCAAGAGAGAACAGAGGCTCTTTATGACGTTCATTGCGTGGGAGAAGAACTAAAGGAAGACCCTGAGATTATACAGAAAGCGCTTTCGGACTTTGACAAGGCCATTCAGCAAGAGCACAATCCAACTTATGAAATTGCCTCAAATCAGAACAAAGCCTACGTCCAAGACCCCACGTTTCGCTTGAGATTTCTCAGAGCAAACAGTTTTAATGTCGGTCAATCTCTTGGACAGATGATGAAGTTTCTTCAGTACAAAGCAGCGTATTTTGGAGCTGAAACGATTGCTCGTGAAATCACCCTGGACGATTTGACGACAGAGGATATGAAACTGATGTTGTCGGGGCTCTACCACATTCAGGATGGAAAAGATCGAATGGGGAGGTTGGTAATTTACATGTTCAGCAATATGCTATGCAGCAGCACTGTTGAAAGTCTGGTCCGTGTTTCGTTCTACGTATGGTTCAATATCATCCTGTCTGATCATGACGTGCAAAGGAAGGGTGTTACAGCCATTTACTATGACGTCAATTCTAGGCCTGGAGAGAAGGTCAAGAAGCCTGGAATCAACTTCATGATGAAAGTTCTGGGTCCTTTGAATTCTCTCCCTGGGCGTTACACAGCACTTCACTACTGTCTATTAAAAACAAAGAGCAGTCTTGCTCTCAACAGCACTGTTCTGAGACTTTCGGTAAACAATATTCCAGGTTACGTTAGAGTAAGATCACGGCTTCATCTCGGATCTGACATGGAGCTGCAGTATCTGCTTAAGAGTCATGGTATTCCGATTGATACATTTCCTGTGGATGTCAATGGCAATATACGTGAAAATATTCTGAACAAATGGTTTAACAAACATCAAGAAGCAATCGACAAAGACACCCCTTCCGCGAACGCTCAGGTGCCGGAATTGAATGCAAGTGCTTGCACCTTTACCAAGCAAGAAGGTAATGTAGAGAACGGAAAGGCTGTGCCTTCCAACAGGGCATCCTCCGCTTCCGCAAGGACGGTTCAACCTTTGGACACGGATATTCTGTCGGGAAGAGGACGCAAGTCGCAGGACCATCCAGGTAATGTCAGATTCCGTGACATGCTAGAAGAGCATAGTGTCGAATACGACAAGGCTCCCCGCCACGAACGACGAAGAATCACCACCGAGTTCACCCGTTTGCTCGCTTCCCAAGGGATCCGATTCCTTGACCAAATAGAATCTGGGGATTGGGTAGAATGCGATTTCGCAGAAGGGAGGACAAAAGTTAGTCAGCAGTTTCGCACTCTACGCAAAAAGAAGTCTCGGGCGTAGCATTCTTGTGAAGTAGTAGAAGTATTAATATCAACCTGGGCTGCTGTTGGTCACTGAATGGTATGGTGACGAAACGTTTTGAGATCAGCACAGTTTTATAAAATTAGTGCCACGATCCACGATCATCATGACAGCAAATGATAGGAGCGATGCTGAAAGACTGAAATATTCACAAGCTACTGGTATGTATTAATACCAGTACCGTACAACCCCTGGCATGCAAGTTGAACCTCCCCCTTCTCGACTTCTTGTTTTATTCATATTATACCGTATTAAAATATCACCTACAGTATTATACTTCCTCATGCCATCCGTCTACCCGCCATCCGTCTACAGGTCATGAGCTCATTGTCTCCGTTTGACCGCGCCTTTCGAAAACAAAAACCGATCGGAAGCTGTACTGTCGGACTCGTCGGTATCATCATCATTATTATCATCGTCATTGTCGTCGTTACAATTAATCTGGTTTACTTCGCAGTGGAAATAAACTTCTGATTGTCGCGCATTGAATTCATCCATCCATACATAACAAAATGAGCGGCAAAACGGCAGAAGATTACAAGGCGTAAGTTATTGTAGTTATTATATTTCATTCAAACATGATGTTACATTGATGGCGTTTTTCAGCAGGGCCTCTTTCTGGTTGACGGCAATTATGTGTTTGTTTCGACATTGCCCGCCAGTATTCATTGTATTCGAATCGATCTTGTGCCGATACGTCCGCTATTTCCCATCCAACTCTTGTGCTAACCTATGTTTGTTTGTTTGATTGATTGATTGATTCATCACAACTTCAGACTAGGAAATCAATCCTTTGCGAGCAAGGATTTTCCAAAGGCCATTGAACATTACACCAAGGCAATCCAATTGGATTCCAAGAACCACGTATTTTTCTCCAATCGTAGTGCTTCCTATGCTGGACTGAGTGAATGGGGTAAGGCAGTGGAGGATGCCAAAGAGTGCATTCGATTGGATCCACAATTTGTCAAGGGATACTATCGTCTTGCAACAGCTCAATTGGAATTGGAAGAATATGATATGGCTCAAGCGACTATCAAACAAGGTTTGGCTGTGGATTCCAACAATGCTCCGTTGCTGAAACTTATGGGAACGATCAAAAAGGCCAGAAAGGCAGCTGCAACTACAGCAGCAGTCGCAGCTGGGGTCGGTGGTGGCAGTAGTAGCACGACAGCTGGAGGCAATACGCTGGGAGGGGCTGGAAAATTGGATCAAGCGACTTCTCGAGAGCTCTATGATTTGGAGGTACAATACAAACAAAGCATTCGCGAATTTCAATCCGTTCAGGTCGATATGAACAAGTACCAAAGAGAACAGCAAATGGCAGATGCCACCCTCACTGAATTGGAGGCGAGTCCGGCCGTTGGAGCCTATTACCGATCGGTAGGAAAGGCATTTTTGAAATCGACAAGAGATAATGTTATGGATCATTTAAAAGATAACAAGGAGGAAAGTGCCAAAAAGGAAAACGATTTGACACAAAAGCTAAAGTACTTGGAACGGAGAATGACTTCACAGAAGCAGAATATGAGAGAATTGGTATCACAGTCTAGGTAGAGCTAAAAATAAAGAGATGCGCTAACGAGTTTTTCAATAGACCCGCCTTCTGTTGTTTGGTGAGATGAACTGTATAGCTATATTCATATAGATTTGATTTCTTTCCTGTCGAAAGCAGGGCTGCAGCTGGGTATCGGTCGTAGGATACAAGGTCGCAATTCTTTCTCTTAGTCATATCTTCACTATGCATCAAAGTCCATTCCAAGACCGAAAAACTGCTTGATATCGCCCTCACTTGTATACGATACGTCATACTTCAAAGGCAGGCCTTGAACATTCTTGCGCAAACCAACTCCAATACTGGACTTTGAGTAGAATGGACTCGAGTGATCCTTTTGGACATAGAACCAGTCACCAAAAAAGAGCATGGTTGCATCGCCACCAATCTTGGGCAACTCAAAGGGGATGCGCAATTCTGCAGTTCCCTTGACTGTGGAGGTAGCGCCACCGTCAGGCTTGACTCCACGAATCTGTGCTGAAATGCCCATGGCCTTGGCTTCGTGCCGGGGAAGATTGGGTGTTGCAGTAGCGACAATGTGCTGCAAAGCCAATGAGATTGGTTTGCGGGAGTCACCTTTGGTTATTGACAGCAACGGCAATATCTGTCGAGATGTGACAGATCCTTGAGAATATGGGAGCATTTCGTACCCAAATATGCCTTCGTTCTCGCCATCTGCTTCACCGAGCCTGGTTCCGCCCGTTAGAGTTGTAGAAAAGCTAGACCTTGCATACATGGGAAGGCTTTGTCGAAAAGGCCCCAGGGTCAAACTGGTACTGGCCAAGTTTTCATGAAGCCCGGTTCGAGTGGATGTTCGTTCCGCACTGATACTGGCCAAACTGTTGCGAACATAACCAGGATCGATAGGGTTCTTCAATCGGAAGGTTGCCCCGCGCCGATTAAAGAGGTCATCGTGCTCATAGTCGACAAACTTGTCATCGGCACTGTCGGAACCATCTGACGAGGTAGTGGCTTTCGATGAAGTATCTTCTGCGCTATCCCCGATGTAGTCAGTGAAAACTTCCATCTCATGTCCTCCTTCCAAACCAAATTTGTCGTCTTTGTATTGAATTCGGATACTAGGAGCTGCATCTGTGGTGCCTCGTCGAACTACCAAACCAACTGTCTCGCCTCCGCCAAATAGATTTTGATGTTCAAAGTCAATCTCTCCTTCCCAAGTTCCTGTGTACAACGACTTACCCAGACCATATTCCAAATGCCGCGGTGGGGGTTCGGTGGCAAGGACTTGCAAGCAAACATTGCCGTCCCTGGTACGTGCAGGTCCAGCATTTAAGACTTTGCCGAAAACACCACTAGATAGAATTCGTTGCCATCTTCCGTTGTCCCATTTGAACGGTTTTCCAGATTTCAAATTCATGGCTTGGGAAATCTTTTTGGCACTGGTTCGTCCCTGGGTTATGACAAAGGTCGTATTGAGATCGCTCTTTTCAATGCGATCATAACGAAAGGATTTGCGGGCAGCTTCCTTTCTTCGATACTGTTTGAAGGTCATGATTTCGCCAGTCTCATCATCGACAATCATTTCTTTACACACTGTAATATCGACTGGGATCTGTGATACCTTTGGTTCTTCCACAGTGATAATGGCTGTGGCCGTTTCGGGCTTTAAGGTTGCTCCTGTAACCGAGTGGAGGACATATCCTTTGCTATTGTACCACCGCTTGATACCTTTTGCAATTTCTTGAACACGATCCGTTCGCAATGGTTGTCCCAATTGTCCAGATCGCTTAACTGCCATTCTCGCGACTTCGTCCGGAACTACGGAATCCTTTGGAAGGCTGACGGCTTGAACAGGCATCGTCCTCAACTGTTCCATGAGCTCTTCTTCTTTCTTCGTCTCTTTCGATTTGAAGACTTGTGATACTTTAGATGAGAAATTTTGCCAAGCTGAGCTCCAAAAGTTGGTGACCCTCGCGGACGTTACTTGAGCTCCTCTCACAACTCCATTCGATGATGCTGACGAACCACCACCAGCACCTCCTCGTAAAGAATCCGAAGCTTCGCTCGATTTGGACTGCGTATGGTCCGAGGGATTCTCGGCATCTTCCTCATCAAAGCCATTCCGAAAGCCATCGTCTTTGTTATAAATGATGGGCATAGAAGCCGAATGAGCCCCGTCATCATTGTCACCAAAATTCAGATTTAGCTGACTTGGAGGACCATTTGGTGGTGGTGTCAGAAATGCGTTGCTTGTGCCGAAATAGCTGCATACAAGAAGCTGTATTAGCAACATTATTCCTAAATGAGGATTCGCATGCTTCATCCTACCAATACCAACAGCGTCGTTGAGAGAATTTCTGCGCCAAGATCGGCACTTGCTTCCCGATTGTATTGACACCTCGTGACGTCGAATAGTTTGAAGTTGTCAACGAGGAATTGTGAGCGAGCGCGAAGATCGCGCAAATATCTTTGACTCATTTGACCAAAGTTACAGATCTCCTCTCTTCTCTTCAGATATAGACTACGAGTAGAAAAAGTTGTCGAAATACATGACATATTTGATAATGGACACGGGGAGACTTGAGATGACTTTCACTAGCTGTTTTACTGAGTCTTTTCGATTTGCACATTTCTTGTTTGGGGTTCCAAGAAGATTCAGAATGCAAATTGTGGAAGGGACCTACAAATGTTACCACTTTTCAGGATCAAAAAGTGAGTTCTGTCCGGCGCAGGGGTGATTCCACAATCACATCAAAACATCACCATCCATTCACCACTAATTTCAACAAATTCAACTGCAACGACGACAATAGGAAACATCATGCTGACAGTCAATCCCATTTCCTCAATGCTAAGACTATTAATCGCGGCATGTTGGCTTTTATCCGCGGAAGCTCACTTCAGTAGGGGATTTGGAGTGCGGCTTCAAAAGCGAAGTTTTGGGCCATCGTACCTTCGCTCATCGGAAACAACAAGCTATCAACCAAGTCAGAAACTCGTCAGTCAAGTAAAACGGGGTAACAAGAAAAGCAGCACCAAACCACCTGTGAAAACCATGACCGCAAGGCGTATGGAGACCCTCAAGTACGTTATTCATCCCGATGGTATACCTTCATCCCTCTATCTTCTCTGCATCTACTACAGTACCTCACGACCGAATGTGATTATCATCTGATTCGTATATTCAGATTCCTTTCTGGTGGAGTTGCAGGAACCGTAGCATCTGTCGTGACCAATCCATTAGAAGTTATCAAAACACAATTGCAATCCTCTAACACGGCATTGCTGGAATCCAAGAGTCCCATTGCAATTGCCAAGGCCATTGTAAAGCAAGACGGCATTCCAGGGTTCTGGCGAGGACTTCCTCCAACACTAGTCGGAATCATACCCTCTCGATCGGCTTACTTTTACGCTTATCAACGAGTCAAGAAACTTTTGAGTCCCCGTCTACCGGAAGGATCCCCTGGTAACGCTCTTGTCGCTGGATTCACAGCTGGAATTGTTGGCAACACATTGACCAATCCCATTTGGATGGTCCGTACCCGCATGCAACTTATGGTCGATGCCAACGCTGGTCAACGAATGTACAATGGATACGTAGATGCCATTAAGACCATTTTCCAAGAAGAAGGCATTGGTGGATTCTACAAGGGAATCACGGCCAGTTACTGGGGCTGCGCCGAAGGTGCGACACAATTCCTCATCTACGAACAAATCAAGACACGTCTGCTCAATCAGGAAAACGAGAGGCGAGCCAAAGCGGGAATGCTACCTACTAGTGAACTATCCAAGGCTAGCTATTTTTGGGCGGCGGCCACCTCCAAATTCGTTGCCGCTGTTGCGACTTATCCCCACGAAGTCGCTCGCACTCGTCTTCGCGAACAGGCTAAGTCTGGTGTTTTCAAATACAGCGGTATGTGGCAAACACTGGGCCTCATGTCGAAGGAAGAAGGTTTCAAGTCCTTGTATTCGGGTATGGGAGTTCATTTGATGAAGGTTGTCCCCAACTCTGCCACCATGTTTTTGTGTTATGAAATCGTTCGGGGATGGTTGGATACGTACACCATTGTGGCACTGGTTCCCACCAAGAAATCAAATTAGCTAAATCAAATGGAGCTACTGTAAATTATTGAGTCTAGTCCTATGTACTAGTCTATCCTTTGTTATAAGTTTGCATGTGTTCGTTTTGTAATTGAGTGTAGTGGCAATCTGTAAAGTTGCTCGAGACATTTTGCTTCGCTTTTCGTCGCCTTGCGGTATAATGCAATTCTGTAATCCTGCACCAAACCCTTCCCTTCATAGAACCATGATAACCATAAAGGTGCTAAACAGAAACAACAACAAAACAAGACTTTTGGCTGAGTGTTCTATGCTAATAATTTACAATGGGCTGCTGCTGCTACAGATGCGAAGAGATACCAAATGACAATCCATCTCATGTTCGACCAAGGATACTCCCAACTAGGACATGTTCCACATACAATAACTGCATGAAAAACATAGATACAATCCATCCATCCCAGCGTCCCCACAAAAGATAAATTGAATTGCATGAAAAATTGGTATCGGATAAACAACAATAGAGAAAGACATTCAGAGGCTCGTTGTATACAACCCCACAACGTTCAAAAGCACAAGTTGCTTCACGTATGTATCAGCAGCAAGAAAAGGAAGCAATAGCGATTGATTCCTTAAGAGAATGATAAAGGCTCAGAGGAAAGAAGAAAAAGAAATGCTGGGATCGTTCGTTTGGTTAACGCGAAGGTTTCCCAGCACTCTCAATAATAGTGGCAGTAGTAAGAAGTTTGGGGCAACTTCCAACTACCGGCGAGGTTGAATGGGAGAGGCGTCAAAGGAGACGTCGTGCAGGTATTCCCGAACGGCATCTTCGTCTGCCAATCCTCTCTCGTGCGCCTGTTGACCTACATCCTTCGAACACATGCGGGAGACTTCCCCTAAAAAGTCCATATTGATGACCCCTTCGTCACGTTGAATATCCTGTTCCTCGAGGACAGCCCGTCGGACTTTCATCTTGTTTTTCTGCCGTCGTTTGGAGCCTGCTGGAGTCTTTCCTTCCAAGCCACGACTACAGTAATCCACATCATCACAGGGCTCATCTTTCATGATCATTTTGACTGTGACCTTGGCCATGGCTAATATGAGCTTGCTATCAGCTTCAGTGTACCATGTAGAGTTTCGTTCCTCTTGTTCCATATCCTGAATCCGAATGTGCCTCTTCTTCTGGACCTTATGGTACCAGTGTACACCCTTTTTCTCGGTTTTCTCAGTCGAGTCGGTGGTATCCTCAGTCGGCGACATTCTTTCTTCTTCTTTCTGTAATCTAGCTTTATCGTCTAAGGTCAAGTTTTCGTCTATTGTCCCAACTTGATCCAGCTTTCCCATACTCTGATTAGAGAAACAAACAAATCACCAGGCTCAGCCAAACCTTAATAATTGAACTGAAGAGGTTGCCTTGTTTTCGGCTTGTTGCCACTTTCCTTAAGAAATCTATTGAATCTGAATTGAATCAATCTACAGTGATACAGTTCCTCACTAGTAGAATAAATGGCAGTCAGAGTTCAGAATCCGCACAACAATCAAGCTCGAAGAGATACAATCTGTCCTACTTGATCAGTGATCTTTTAAGTTGCTGATGATCCAGTGTTGGGTTATTGCTGCTTCGAACAGCAGCAGAATGCCAGATGAGGTACGAAAAGTTTGAGCTGCCCCTCCATGGAAGGAGAAATCTTATGTCTCCTAAGGACCGCGTACAATATCTTTGATAGTTCCATCTCAGGGGTAATATGAGTACTACAGAAAGGTACGCATTTCTCGCGTAGTGAGAAAAGAAGACTGTTTTTGGCCAAAGAAGTCATTTGGGTTAGTTATGGCCTTTTGGTGGCACTTTGGAATCGGCTGGCGTCCATCCGCAAATTAGCAACCAATGGAAAAAGGAGGGTCATTGATCAATGGCGGGAAAGAGAAGTGGAGCAATTTGCGTCACGGGTCCACCTCACATCGCAAGGGTACAAAAATTTCTAAAAAATAACTCCATCGGAGGATTTTAATTTCTCTGCGGGGAAATCAGCGTTAAGTGAAAAAGCGTCGAATTACCTGGTTTGCCCTATTCGACGGTACTATTTCGACACTTTTCGACACTTTCTTCAACAACTGGAGGATCCGATCGAATTCTGACGGAAGTTTTGTCTCACAATCCTCACGAAGCATTTCCAAGATAAACTGCCTTCACTTATTTTGATTCCCATACTGTACTGTTCAGAAACAACACCTACAATTCAGTAACATCATGTCTGAAAAACCAATGTCCGGTAGACGCAAGTCTCGTGCCATGAACACAGGGCCTTCCAATCGATCCATGCCAACCTCACCAGCATCGAGTACTCGATCCTTTGCCAGCGGCACTTCTGACTATCCGGCAGGTCGTAAGCCCCGTGGCTCCGTCGTCGCGGAAGGCGATTTTCCGGAGGGCCGAAAGCCCCGCGGTTCAGTGTTTGTGGAAGAAGAAATCATAGTCGAAGAGAAAATCATCAATGACAGCGACGAATTTGAGGAAGAAGAAGCCAAAAAGAGACGCAAGCGACTTGCTTGTATTATTGCCTGTGTTCTGATCTTAATCTTGGTCATTGTCATTATTGCCATCTTGTTGAGCGTACTTGGAACTGGCGATGCGGCCACTAACGGTTCTATTGGTGGCGCTCCGAGCAACTGTGTTGTCAACAATGAAACCAAACCCACAACCTATGAGGAGTTCACCTGTGAGGTGCTTACTACCTTGACCACCAGAGACAGCACGTATCTAAGAACGTATTCTACTACTTCTCCTTATGGTATGGCCATTGGCTGGATGACCAAAGAAGACAAGACAGACTTTCTCAATACCCCCACTGAACATGTTGTGGAACGTTTCATCATGGTCTTGTTCTATTTTATGACGGTAAGTGAATTAATTGTGATGGTGGCCGATTGTGAAGGTTAGGAAAAAGATCATCGTTCTAACAATTCTTGTATTGATTCCCGTCATGTTGAAATTATAGGGAGGCAAAGACTGGTTCACACGTTTTGAATTCTTGACTCAGCAACATCTCTGTGATTGGACCGGTGATTCAAAGAATGCCATCCGATGCGCCTATGCTCAGGACAAGAAAGTGACGGATTTGGGTATGCCACAAAATGGACTGACGGGCCCCATTCCTACAGAATTGGGTTATTTGACAGAGTTGACAAGAGTCTACTTTTCCATCAATTCGTAAGTCTCCACCAGTAATGCAATGACGAGGCCAATCATTGACATTCAACGGAACACCCACTCACCTGCTTTTGATTGTAGCTTGTCAGGTAATATTCCTTCAGAATTGTTCCAACTGACGAAATTGGAAAAGCTTTATCTCGACCGCAATGATTTGAAAGGCAAGATCCCGACTCAGATCAACCAACTGACTGGGCTCACGACATTGTACCTGAGTAACAACGACTTCAATGGAGACTTGACCGAAATTTGTGATATTGCGAATACCACTTTCACAAATAATGGAACAAAGTTTGACTTCCATTCTGACTGCGATACTGGCCGTGTCACTTGCGAGTGTTGCAAAACATGCGTGTAGATGCTGGAATGTGCTGGAATTTCTGCGAGAATGTGAAGAAGGGGGGGGG